CAGTAATGTGAATGAGACTGTTCAGGTCTCAAAATCACAAGGTTGAAATCAAGTTGCCATCCGCGCCCCCCCCCCCCCCCCAAAAAAAGAAAACACTAAGCAACTATAATAATGTTTATAAAATCTATAATTTCATTTTGGGTAGTACAAGCCACAGGAAGTTTTATAATATTGACTGTAGACCAAGGTGAATTAGCGTAAAATACATCATCATTTGTGAGGGAGCATTTATTCCCTCATTCGACACATATTTACCACATTCCTATCATGTGTCAGGCACTGTTCTGGGGGCTGGGGCTGGAGGTAACAGAAGGATGGGGCACAGTCCCTTCATTGAGGGTCTTTGCTGCTAATGAAAGGGCCCAGACAAACACACTAGAGAACGTGAGGGAGCAGCTGCCAAGTTAGCTAAGAACATCATCAACCGGGAGTTCAGAAAAAAGTGAGTCCCAAGGTGGGGCAGGGTAGTGTCAGTCAGGGGAGGCCATGAGAGGCAGGCTTCAGAGGAGGGGCAGCACCAAGAGCAGTAGAAGAGGAGTGGGAGGGCCTCTGGGGTTCTCCCTCACCACCTGCCCACAACTGCAAGCCTCTTGAGTCCGGGTTTCCAGTGGCTAGCTAAACGTCGTACATGGAGGCACCAGGCAACTGTTGGCTGAAAGCTGACCAGATGATGAATGAGGGGGAAGTGGAAAACTGCATGACCGTTTTCTCAGAGGCCCATAACACTAAAGGTCAACATCCATTGAGCATTTTGCTGTACGATGAAGGCTCCACAGGCATTGCTTCATTGAATGATCACAACAGCCTTTTGAGATATGAAGCCTGAGCACGCTCATTTGACAGAGGAAAGTCACATGGCTTATGAGATGAGGAGGCAGAAAAGAAGGACAAAGATACAGATGTATTTTGAGATGTTGGAAGAGGTATTGCGATATTCCAGGAAAGCAAGGACTACAGAGCACTCAGTCTTCAACTCTGAGTAGGATTCAGGCTGTTCTCTGGTTTAAAACAGCAGCTGTGAGGATTCAGCCAACAGTAGCTGAGCAGTAATGAGGCCCGATGAACTAAAGGCTGGGAGCGTGTGCGTGTGTGTGTGTGTATGCATGTGTACCTAAGGATGTGTCAAAAGAACATTAGTATAATCCTTAAAAATCCTGGGGAGGAGCTGTGAGGAGTCAAAAAAAAGTCAAAGGAGTTGAGGGTGAATAGATGGAGAGAGGTGTGGACGAGTTCAAGGCTGGGGATGTCCAAAGAGAGGCATCAGGACGTTAAGACACGAGGGCAACATTTCATGCCTCATCTCAATCTCAACCTTTTCAGAGGTGCCACATATTAGATGGCAAGAAGCTATGGTTAATTTTTGTAAGTGTGAGAGTGGCATGATGGTTATATATACATATTTTTAAAAGTCCTTCTCATTTAGAGAATGTCACGGAGGTAAAGTGACATGATGTCTGCAGGACGAAGGGATCTTGGGAAAAAAGTAAAAATTTGGAGCAATACGTTATGACATAAAATCTCCAAAGAAGGAGACCTGGCCATAAACCAACCAAAGGGGGCTGAAGGAGTGGTAGAATTCTTTACAAATCTTATTTCCTTTTGGGGACATTAAGTGGGCAACAGCTGTGTCCACGAAAGAAAAGTGAATTTCAAAAATAAAACATTCTGTATCCTACATAAGAGATGCTGTCTACAAATTTTAATTTTATGCAGAAAAAAAATCGGGGTTAATTACATAGCAGATGTGGGTATTTAAAAAAGGTATACAGGTGACTGAAAGACATCTTTTTTTTTTTAATAAAGATAGGATCAGGATTTCTGGGGTGTTTTTTTCGTGTGAGGAAGATTGGCCCTAAGCTAACATCTGTTGCCAATCTTCTCCTTTTTTTTTCTCCCCAAAGCCCCAGTATATAATTGTATATCCTAGTCAAAAGTCCTTCTAGTTCTTCCGTGTAGGATGCCGCCTCAGCATGGCTTGATGAGCGGTGTGTAGGTCCGCGCCCAGGATCTGAACGAATCCCAGGCCAACAAGCAGAGCTCGTGAACTTGACCACTATGCCACCAGGTCAGCCCCCTAAAGATGTCTTTAAGTACCATAAAAACCTGTTCGTCTTCCCACCTCTTCTCCTCTCCACTTTGAAAAAAAAATTTTTAGCTATAGATAACCTTAAATTGTGTAAGAGAATTGCAAAAGTTTATTAAAAATTCATCTCTGACCTTTTAAATTAAAAAATAGGTTCAGCACGGCACCAAAGACAAACCTCGTCTACCCTAATGGGGCGTGCAACTAACACAAGGGCTGCAATTAGAAATTAGGAATGCAGAGAATAATGAACCTCAATTATTGTCTGCATATTCTTCTCGCATTAGATCCCAAGTGAACTCTGGAGACCTTGCCCATAAAAAGACTCATCGGGTTCAGTCTTTTTTTTTTTTAAATATATATACCAAACAAAGCTATCAGAAAATCCTCACCAGAATCTGAGAATGATTTCCTTATGGCTAGGGAGATACTGCCAAGATTCCCTTTAAGGTTGACTTAGATGGCACTCAAGTCGGATTGCCATATGGAATTACTCCCCACACAGAAGCCTGACCTGGGGGAAGCTGAACAAAGCAGAGATTATTTACAAACTCCCAAAGCAGGGGCTGTTTTACATTTCTCCCACCCTGGATCTAATTCCATTGGTAAATACAGCACATATTAAGTTATAAAGCATAATTATGAAAAAGCCAAGAAGCGCTACAGAGGATTGACCCTCCTGACACTGGGAGGCAGAGGCCAGGGGCTGGACAGGCTGTCTGGGTTGCCAGGATCACCAAGGCAGCCAGAGACGGACTGGTACCAGCAGGCTCATGCTGTTGCTTAAAGACATCTTATAGGAATCATCTGTATTCTGAGGGGCAGCCTAGTTTCCAGGCAGTTTCCCCTCAAACGAGGAAAACACATAATGCGGTACTTATGACAGGCCTGTAAGTCCTGCTTGCAGAGTACCCTTGAAACCAGGCCCTTAAATAACACAGGCGAGGGGTGAGCTGGGTGGTGCAGTAGTTAAGTTTGTGTGCTCTGCTTCAGCAGCCTGCGTTCATGGGTGCAGACCTACACACTGCTCATCAAGCCATGCTGTTGCAGCATCCCACATACAAAATAGAGGAGGATTGGCACAAATGTTAGCTCAGGGCCAATTTTCCTCACCAAAAAAAAATGCAGGCCATATTGACACATATCCTTCTTGGTAGAGGGGGGTTTGGCTGGTCTTTATTCAAAGAGGAAGGAAAGTTGTCCATGAAACAAAAGAGTATTTAATGACATCATGAAAAATTAGTATTTGTTCTGGCTCATATACTAAGAATGTTGGGTAAAAAAAATGTATAGTTTTTAATTACTATTTAAGCCATTTGTATTTTGTTAATCGAGAAAGCTTCAAAAAAATGTTCAAACATCAAGAGGATCCTGTTAGGGTAATTTGCCTATAGCTTATTGCGTCCTAGACTTTTCTTGGTGTTAATGTTTCTATAAAAGAAACATCAGAATGCTCATTCAGCAGGAAGGCAAAATCTGGTGTAAGGGGCAGCAGGCTTGGCCTCTGTCTCCCTGGGGCTGGTCATCACGTGTCAATGTAATAATGGAGAAATAGCAACTCCAGCCCTAAGACCATACAGGGAGCCTCCATGCTGGAGTGACCATCAACTGGACTGAGTGATCTGTCTTATGCAACCACCTCTTAGACAATATTTTCTTTCACTTAATTTTTTGGAGGGGCATAAAGACAGCAGAATGAAGTAAGGTGAAGTTTTGGAGTAAACCTGCCTGGGCTCAGATTTCATCCCCACCACTTACTAGCTGTGTCACAAGTTAGTTAAGCATTCTAAGGCTCACTTTCCTCATTAACGAAGGGAGCATATTGCTATTTCCCTCTGTGATGGTTTCTACTCAGACTTCAGGGATAATCTAAGCTCACTTCAGTGCCTGGCACATGATGATTCAATAAATGCTTGTCATTTTTATGATTATCTAAAGAATTTACATTTTCAAAGCACATACGGAAAATCAAAGGCCCTCTGTATGTGCTTTCCTATAATGTCCTACAATGAGAGAGATTCTTGGTGTCTATCCCATTCCGGGTATATAGGAGGTATTCCATAGATGATGTGGATTAATTTGGAAATGCAGTTATTCTGAAGTATAAAGTAGGTAAAAACAATCTTATTTTCAGAAACAAAAGCACTATATCAAGTATTGAAAGAATCATCTTGGAAAATATCTGATAAATGCTCTAACAGTAATGGCTTTAACAGTAACGGCAATGATTTTTCTGCACAGCTTTGTCAAAAAGCTTTATGAAATACAAATAAAATTTCCATTGAATTAAAAATATATTGTGTAGGTTTGTTGTATTGGCTAATGGTTGACAATTTCTGAAATACATCAAGGTAAATCAGAAATCCTTGGAGAAAAAAAACCAAAAATGTTGAGAGCTATGAAAATGTTTAAGAGAGAACTACCAGGCAATCTATTTTTGTTTGATGTTAATTCCTAATACTAAATTTAAAAAATGCTTTGGATTCCAAAATAAAAATTATTCAAGATGTGTTTTTGAATGACAGCAAACTAAATAATCTCAATATTATAGGTTTTCTTTTCCCGTGGGCATTAAAAATGTAATCTGTATTTCAAATTTCTTGCTTTATTTTAGCAAAGTGGAGGCCAAAGAAGTCCTGCTTAAGATATTCTAACGAAACATCGAGAAGCCATTCTCCAGCGTCTAATGAAAATCAGACCCATGACTTAACAGTTACTGTGCATATGTGGAAGTTTCTATTGCTAGTTCTCAAAGAGAGTGTGTGTGTGTGTGTGGGTGTGGGTGTGGGTGTATTACCCATTCCAACAGAATCTAGAGATAAAATGGTCCTTATTTCTTTACAGTTCTACCCTTCTAGTGGACAGTATGCTTTATCCTAAAGAGATTTTTCTTTAAATGAATAATTCAGACTCAAACTGCATATTGGTAACTATATTTTAAACCAAAAAATTCCTCACATAATAAATACATTTTATGCACATTAACTTCGAATTTACTTCAGAAAGCTATTTACAATATAAATAATTATAAATGGAGACACTTTGCAAGATATCATTGACATAGCTAATATTTTCTACTTTACATTCCAAAGTAAAAGTTCAAATGACAGATTTATACTACGATGTCACTAAAAACTATACATTGCAAGATGATATTTGAAATATTGGCAATCAGTATCTTCTTTCACAAATATAATCCTTTTTAGAACATGTCAGTCAAAAAACAAACATAAAATATTTTTATCTTTTTTGAAGTGCCTATTCATATGTTTCATTTTTTGAAATATTTCCCTGTGGAAAAAAAACAGAAAAAAAGTTACAGTACTTCTAAAAATTTGTGTACGCCGATTTTATTTCTTTTGAAATGTAAACACACCAGGGATGTTGGGTGTAAATTCAACTATGATTAAATGTGTTCCAGATCAGCAAATTAGGACAAAGTCTCTACTATATATGTTTATGAAAGCAAAGTCCCATGCAGCAAAATTGCAATAAATAAAACTATAAATGTTTGGTTTAAAATTATTAGGATTTCTTGTGTGAACCATCAGTTTTTAAGGAGCACAGCAGAAGAGAATCTTGCTACTTGCTTTACAATTGTGTGTATGTGTGTGTGCGTGTATATATATGGAGCTGACACACAGGCACACACACATACAGCCTTTCTGCATACAGTCCTAGACAAGGAACTCCAAACAAACCCCTATTTGGATATGGTCACGATCTCACTTTTTGAGTTAAGCACTGCCCGAACAACTCTTGTGCACAAGAAATGAGCACCACACGGAAATTCTCCCCAAGAAGATTTTCTATGTAATACACCCTTAGCATGTGTCCATAGCTGTTCTGTCATTCATTTGAAGTGTAGAACGACAATGAATGTTTTATCCACAAAGCATTTCCCAGTAAGAAGTAACCAAGAGATTTTCCTATCTTAGAGTCAAATTCCTATTCACAAAAACTGACATGTACATGAAAGGTGAATCACTTATTTGGAGAACCATAGGATTTACATTCTTTACTGTCATTCGGAAAACAGGATGTAATGTCTATTCCTGTGATTTGAGTGAATTGGGGAGCCAAATTTGGGCATTCAAACTTTTTAAATAAAGAAGAGTATATTAAAGTGTAAGCTATTCCACTGGGCAAGGTGACCCCAAAATGGCCAAATCCTCAGTTTTCCAAATATCACCATTTATTCAGTCACTTCCAAATGCTACTAGTACTAAGAGAATTGCACTGAATATCTTAGTAACATCCTGCTCTTGAAGAAGAGAGAGCGAGCGAACCATAAAATATTACATCTGTATTCAGAATGTCTCTTTAGCTGTAGTGTCTTCTATCAAACTTATTTGGTCTAGGTCTTGGGGGGAAAAAGCCTTGCATTTTATTTTAGAATATCTATGCATATTTTGCGAGTGATCTTTTATTGAATCAATCCTCATCCCCCATTAAAAAAAGAAAAGAAAATGGAGCATATTATCCTTTTCTAAAAGATCCTATTAAAGCTTATTATAAGTGGGATTCTTTGCCCAGAGGCAGCATGTGGCAGTGGGGTGTAGAGAGAATTAAGAATAGTACCCAATGGAAATATTCTGGCCCTATAAAATATAATCAAGAAAGAATAAGTGGTTTTTCTGTATAAACACTGAAGGCAAATCATTTATTGCATTCTGTCTCAATTTGAATGTCACATCAGCACTGTGCCATATTATCCTGTATCAGGCGATTACAGTTTAGAAAAGCTAGCCCATTATGTTCAGCATAGTCTGTCAAAAGACTTGTGGAGCAAAGCACACCCAAGCATCTGATCTGTAGTGATTGTGACATTAATATTATGCATCCAAAAATAATACATCAAATCTGTATATTCTCAACAATAGTTTTAACATAATTTCCCCAAGGAAGACTGGGGAAATATTCCTTTATTTCTTTGGTCATCCAAATTTTTTAATTAGGTAGCGCAGGCAGGTAAAATGGGCAATAAAGATACTCTTACTATTACCGGAAGGCATGAGCTTTGTATCATCTAATGAATTGCTACATTTTGTACTGGTAATTGGATATAGCACATTTTTATGAATCCTCAAGGTGATATAAAAATCATACTTCTCTATTTCAACAAAGTATCATGATTCTTAGCATTTAGCAAAGTTGTGGAAATCAAGGATTAAAACGAAAGCCAATTTAAGTTTAATTTTAACTGATTAAGTTATTGGGAACATACATATTTTACATCCCATATTTTAAAAAGACATATTTAACATCTTCATTATGAGGAAATAGGTTCCTGCACAGAACAAAATAGTGTAGATTATAAATACCTTTTAACACATCTATGTGTATATCAAAGTTTGTCATAAATTGTCGACTTATTTTGGGTCATTTTGTAATAATCACGCCACATTGCAAAAAAATGTTGGATATATAATACTGTGGGCCTGTAAGGCATTATATGTAATGTAATGAATCTGCTACTATAAATTATTGACATGTAAATTAAATAAAGGGTTAGGTATTTAAAACTGGACCGATCTACCAAAATTTTTAATCAAGATGTAATTTAGTTAATTCTGCCTTCATTTAAAAATACTGGTCATACTATTTTAAAGAGCATTATTCTTTCTGATTTCCCCTATTTGTAGAGTTCATTAACTTATTTCTTTCATCAATTAACTATCTTTTATATAAAAATTCCACTGAAATTTCTTTAGTGATAATTTTTTCTTTCACATCATTCTCCTTAATTCTTAAGATTCTATTTCATTTATAGCATCTGCTCCTGACATTTTCAGCAGAATGCATATCCACCAGTAAAACCCATCTGTATAGATTCCCTTTCCAAAATACACCATGTTCTTCAGATAGTTGTGTCTTTGAACTATTTATCCATCTACAGAATCTTGCAAAAACTTTAGCATTCCTAAAACGTTACCTCATATTGCAAATTGATTGAAAATCCATTTTAAATATTCCAGGGGTTTCTCATAAATATTTTTCTCAAAATTATTGAATACTTTTTCTTGTATAGTTCAAAGTTTAGTTTTTATTGTTCTTCAAACTTTTTTGAAAGTATATATGATAACCACTAACTTTCTCACTTACCTGAACTTTGTCTATTTACAGCACAAACGTTGCTCTGTCACACCCAAGAAACAATTCATTTCTTTTCTCATATACAAACAACCCAGTATTCATCTCTGAGATTATCCCATTCAGATTGTCACCTACCTATGGACTGCCAAATAAGTGTGTGAAATGATGAAAATATAGCACTAATCCCTGAGTGTTCAATGTCATGTTCTGCCTTCAAAATTACAAGTCAAGTTCTTCCAATACATTCCCCTCCTTGAATATGGTAAGAATTTCAGGCATGGGACTCCTCGGAAATATTATCTATGAACCCTCTCTAATCACTTACGTCACTTTGCTTTGATTCCTAGAGAATAGCGCATTAAATAATTCTTACTTATTTTTCTTCTCCCTCAGCAGTTTCTACCATCTACATTTTGTCTGAATCTAGAAAGTTGACTGTAACCATCCATGTCTAAAAGAGCCCATGCACTTGCTTGAATTCCAAAGCAGGACCTCTGTATGAGTGCAGAAAAGCCAGGGTGATCAGCCTTGACAACTCACAGCAGAGAGTTAACTGGTTAACAAGCTGAGTTCTGCTGCACCGATGAACCACACAACCAGAGGACAGGAGAAGTGCCATACAGACAAAGACACTGGGGTCCAGGCGCGGTGAGGGACACACCTAAATAAGCCACAGGCAAGGTCAGAGCTGGAATGCAGAGACCTTGGCATCTAGTCTGCTGGTCTTTGTACTGCATCACATGAGCTTAAGACCAAGTTTTTGTTGTTTACAAACAATAAGGAAAATGAATGCTTTGCCTGCTCCTTCAGTCAGCGGACTCCTCTTGTGCTTTAAATCACTTGTCTATCAACCCAAGCTTTTATCTCAGACTTTCTCCTGAGGCTTTCCACATGCTGTCACATTTGCACATCTGTGCTTTGAAATGTTTTCAAACACTTACACTGCTGTCATATAGCACTTCACTGGTTTTCCTTAGTTATTTTTTACACTTAGCCTTTTTTCTCGATGAATCGGTTTGAACTTTTTATTGGGGTGGTTTTATAAGCCCCAAATATGCTGATTATATATTCTGAGCCTTAAATTGTTGGTTTTGAGATATCATTCCATTTCCTTCTGCCTCTGGCCTTTCTATCCCCACTAAACTAGTTCCAATTGAGCACACCAGGTTTTTGATGTGTGTCCCAACATCTCAGTGCTTTGACTTAGAAAAACCCTTATTGCTATGTCAGTGTGATCCTGTTCCTTGTCTAACTCCAAAGGTGAAAAATCACCCCTTCCTGATTGCTTCTAATGGGTACCAGGTGAAAACTCATTCTTGTACCACATCCAGAACCATCTCCCTAATTTACGCTTGAACCAAATGAGCTGGCTGGTTGAAACCACAAAGAAGAGACCAGTTTACAAGATGTATCTCTCTGTGTCTTAGTTATTGTGGAAATGGAAATTTAGGAAGCTTAACGTGCTGCGGTTAAGGAAAGTTGCCCATTTGGGGTGTATTTATGGCATCCATCTACATGTCTGCATGTAAAGTGTGCACAGCAGTTTGTGGATGGCGGTCTGTGTGTATGAGGGTTGCTGGATCGACACAAGGCAATGTTGTCCTCCGTCAGTCCTTTCACGTGGTGTATGTGCTCACTTAAGCTACACGAGTATTTTTCAACGCAAAATTCATCTATTCTGGTTCCCATATAATTAGAGGGGCAATTTGTATATTCACTTTAGCTCCCTTATCTGTGTATAACCCTGAATGCTAGTGCTGTTTTCTTTGATTTCACAGGAACACATGTCAAATACCCAGTAACTTAAATTATCCTCTCTAACAATCTGTGGCATGGTAAATGCTGGTAATGGGGAATTAAATTATAAATATGTTTCAGAGCTCCTTAAAGAACAAAATATTTTAGAAAAACATCAGCTTCCATTGGTTATTATAACAGATGTTCCCTTGTGTCCTTGTGCTGGGTCTGGCTGCATTCTTAGATGGGAAGTTACATCAAAGTGTGAGCCATTACAGCCCAAGGAATAGTTTCTAATGGTTTCGCTGTCATATAAGTGCTCCAGGGCATACCCAGTTAATGTGTAAGCATGCTTATCAAAATACTGCCGGTGAGAGCCAAAGCAGTTTGGAGAGACGGCAGGATGGTCTCCTGCTGTCTGATGAGGAGACATATCCGAATGCAGAAAGTCTTTAGCTAGGATCAAACTGGATTTTGAAATGCGATCCGAATTGGGACTACTTATCCGAGACAGTGCGGTGGGACTGTTGTCATAGTCATTTTCATGGGGGCTCAGCATCTTTCCCTCTCTCTGCTGGATGTGGTCACATGGCGAAGTGTTGGCAAGCGCAGAGCCGTGGCAGACTTCGCCTGTCGGTGGGGGCTGTTGGTAGTTTGCAAAACAGAGGGAGTGTTTTTTCCCAGCTCCATTAATGGAAGCCAGTTGGTCTGGGGGTGCTTTCCTCAGCTGCAATCTGTTCTCTTCTTCTTTAATCATCTGCTGGGTGGCTCTTATCAGAGTTTCAATTTTGCTAGGTTCGTGTGGGCTACTTTGATACTGTTCAGTGCGGTATCGGTCACCTGATTCACTGGCAGACCCCGGGTCTGGAGAACTGACCACACTATCTTCATCCCAGTGACCTCGCCCTAGAAATCAGAAAAAGTAAAAAGTAAGCGGTCTCGAAATACACCCCCAAAAATGTAAGCATGTTTCTTTTTAAAAGGAATCTTATGTCTTTCACTTTTAATATATGCACCAATATCTGAAACAGACACAGGCTCACATGACAGTGTCAAAGGACTCTACCGGACTTCATAGCTCTCAGCGGCTTTTAAGTGCAGATGAAGTTTATAACGAGTTTTTTAGAAGGTAAACCTTGTTGGTGGATTGTGAATGCCAATTAGCAAAAGGGTGTTTATACTTCTCCACATATGCACATCATTGGACCTGTCTGGCAATACATAAAAGAAAAATGCATAGCATTTGGCTTATGTTATTTTCTAGAAAAATATGATGTTAAATTGATGCTTAGAAAATGACTTCAACTGGGTTTGAGAAAGATGATAATATAGGTTGGACTATTTTCTCAATTACAAATAAATTACCTAAAAATGCTAATATTGCTAAATGTATCTTCAGTAGAATTACAATAAAGCTCTGTTATTTTTTAAATTATTTGAGGGTTAAAAAAATATATAGTCAATATGTATAAATGTGTTCATGGATATATATATCTTGTCCCAGTCAAAAATATAAATATTGTCTTCTCAAATCTAGTGGCAAAAATCTCAGTTTGACACATAATCATATAGTAGATCCAGAATCTTAGACCATTTCTGAAATAAGGTGAAAAATAAATATCTAAAATGTTACTAACAACTTGTTCTGAACCAAGGAGAGAGATCTAATATGGAGGAATAGTTCATCCAAAATATATTCAATAAACTATTCTCAAAACAGTCTGAAGTCAATATGAAAAGAGAGAAGAGAAACGGGAAGGGACGCACGAAAACTATGAACTGCTTAATGCAGCAGAGAAGCCCCGCATCACACCACTCATTGCTTTCCTTTTCCCTTTTCTTCTGATTTTATTTCTCCCATTTTCTTCTAGACGATGTAGGTTAAGCCAGGATTTTCACTTCACTCCATTCTTTGGCAAGCAATTGCCCTTTGCCCTGGGCTTCCATTACCAGTCTACCAAACTAGAGAAACTCAGAGTAAAAGTGGAAAAATAAAAAGCAAAATCAGAGACAACTTAAAATCATTCATCGAAGGCAGTCAGTGCCCCGGTGGTATCTGACCAGTACTGTATGAGTAAGGACAACATTGTCTACATATTTCTCATCCTAAAGACACAGCAAGAAGAGTAATATTGCAGCTATTGGATCACTCTTAATGTCACTGACTTCTAATGAAATGAGGGTTTCAAAGACCTGCCTGGACTCAAGAATTTGGTCAGGAATGGACAGAATTGGCTCTCCTTGCCCAGGTTACTTTGAAATGAACAAAGAGCACTGCCAACGCTGAAGGCTTTTAACTGCAGAGCACATTTCCAGGCGTTTGTAAAGCCACGTAGTAATCCCCAGGTGAACGTTTCCGAGGGTTGGTTCTACATATCCCTCCATCCTTTACTCACAGGGGACCTGGTGGGTCATCATAATGATGGGGGAAAGGCACAGTTACTGGCATTTAATGCCCAGAGGGCCAGAGAGGTTAAACATCCTGTGATGTTAGTGATGGACCATAAATCAGAAGGGCCACGGGGCCACCAGTGGCGAGTGGTTAAGTTCACGCCCTCCGTTTCTGCACCCAGAGTTTCACCGGTTCAGATCTGGGCACGGACATGGTACCATCCCACATGGCACAGACAGAGGCACTCACAGCTAGAACATACAACTACGTACTGGGGGCTTTGGCGGAGAAGAAGAAGAAGAAAAAAGAAGATTGGCAACAGATGTTAGCTCAGGTGCCAGTCTTTTAAAAAGACAAAACAAAACAGACTGGCCTTCCCCAACATGCCAATAGTGGCCTCATGGAGAAACACTGCTAAATGAGCCCAGAACTACTTAAGTCCACATTTGAAGCATGAGAATACAGAAGAAAATAATACCCAAGAAATTTAAATGGATACACAAGTTCAATAGACTTAACAATTCACTTGAACTTAATTTCTATACTTTTTTTGATGTTAAAAATGGGAATCATTTTTACTAGCCTGGAAAAATAAACGCATTTGGCAAACATTAGCAAAATTAATACACTTGAAAGGAGTGGATTTGGTTTTCAAAATCCCATTGGTGTGAGTTTCTGATTTGTCAATTCAAAGGAGCAGACCCATTGGGCGGTCACGCCGGCGTCACACCTAGAACTTTATAAAGCTGTTCAAGGGGCCTGCGGCGAGCGCAGGAGGCGTCTCAGCGGCCCTTACCGTGGAGCCTGTGCACGGAAGCGATGTGAGGCATGCTGTTTTCGTAGGCTTCTCTGCTTTCTGGGGAGGCCTTGGTCAGGGGCAAGGCTGCGCGAGAGCCCCACCAGGGCTCCCTCCCGGCCTGCGGCGTTCCCAGGAAGTACCTGCCTGCCTCGCACCGGCCTCCCTCGCAGGCCGGGGTGTGGAAGTGCCTGTCCTCCACCAGCCTGGAATGGTCGAGCGCAAAGCCGTAGCAGAGGGAGCTGCGATCGGGGAACTGTCTGTAGGCGCACGCGGCGTCGTGCTGCGAGCCCGGCCTGTCGCCGGGGTCCAGGAGCTGCGGGGAGGCCGTGTCGGTCAGGGGGCTTCCGCCCCACTGGCTGTCGTGATCGGATTCCGATCTTTCCGTGTGAAATCCCGAATACTGAAACCGAGAGGGTGAGAAAAGCACATGTCAAAAAAAAAGAAAAATAGCGTTTTTCTCTGCAGGCACCCCCAAGGTCATATTGGACTTACGGTACCAAAATAAGACTCACTCTGGCACCACGCTGGGCACCCCTGACTCAGAATCACTTAATCAGTCATGGTGCCGCCAAAGAAAATCCTTTCCGCTGCTGAAAGGAGAAGATAAAAATAATAACAAACACGGACTGAACTAAGTACCAAGCACTGTTGCAAGTACTTCACGTGAATTACCCCACTAAGTTCTCATATTAACCCTTTAACGGAGCTATTAGTAACCCATTGTATGGAGAGGGAAGCTGAGGCCCAAAGGAGGATGGGGGTTTGCCCAAGGCCACAGGGTCAGCAGGTGGCAGAGCCAAGACTCAAACCCAAGTCACCACCGAAATGGTATTGCCAAAGGGAGAGTCCAAGAGAGCTCCACATGTTATTTCTATTTGCTTTTCACATTTTGTCTTAATTAAAATACAAAACAAAAATAAGGTTTAAAGGCGCAGTGTGCAGCAACCTCACTCTTCACACTGGGCTGTTAACTCTCTGAGAGCCAGGCTGGGTACACGACACGATAGTTTACAAATGCTTACCTAATTCAATTGCAATACAACTTGGAAAAAGTCTTGTCCCATATACTGGGATGTGTCTCTTGCTTTCTACAGTAAAACTTCATATATGCATAGGCTCATCAGGAAGAAACAGCTGCAGGCTACGCCGTGCCTTGTTGGAATCATGCTGCTCACCTGGGGCCGGACTATGTGGTCAGGTGTTGAAAGAAAAGGTAAAAGCTTGGGCAAACCTCCCTAGATGTGCTCGTCTGAAGGCCCTCATGAGCTGCTGAAATCAGTAACGTAATCATTTCTACCAGGTTTTGGTTACCTAATGCCAAACACAAGTCTAGGGACTATATAAAGATCGTCTGCTAGAATAATAATAGATGCTGTTTTTTGAGAACTTACTCTGTGTCTGGCAATGTGCTAATCACTACGTATTACATCACTGAATCCTCATAACCACCTGGACAGTTCTATATCTCCATTCTATAGAAGAGGAGACTGCATCCCTGAGAGTGTTAATAAGATGCCACGCCCTCCCTCCCCCCCAACCCCGCCCCCCCGCCCCCAGTCTATCTGGTATCACAGCCTGCGCTCTAAACCATGACTTTACACTTGAGAGAAAACACTGCTAAGGAAAAGAAGAGAAAACAGTGTCCAATGTTAGAGACATTTCCAGAAAAGTGGCAAGAACTGCTTTACAGGCTCTAGAACCAAAATATAAGTCCATTTTACATTTTCTTTCTTACCCCAGAAAAAAGAGGGATGGGTGTGTGTGGTAGTATGGGGGAGAGAGGAGAAACTCCTAGGCTCCACCCTTTTTCACTTGTCACATGCTGGTTAAGCGAATTTTACCCAAGATGAGACCTTCACAGGACAAGGCAAACTCTCCCCTCCACACTGGGCCCACCCTGAGCAGGAGGAAGAAACCTGACTCTTCCCAACTCAGTGCACACAGGCTGTTGGGCGTAGGGTCTCTTGAAGCCAGGGACATGAGGTACAGAGGTTCCTCTGGGGAAACTCCAAAGTATGCTAATAAATACAGCATGCTCAGGACAGAGTTCTATGCAAATTCCAGGTTCAAGATTTTTCCATTACCATTTCTAAATGTCCTTAAGTATCTGCCAAATGTACATATGGACTATCAGCATATTCCATCAAGAAAAAAATGGGAAATCCTACTTCTTTCCAGGCAGGACCGTGGGATATAGGACACGGAGGCATTCTGAGCTCTGTTTCTCTATATCACACCTCTGCAGGCCTGTGCACACCAGCCTCTCTTTTCACCAGATGCCACCTGCACCTCAGCAAGTGAGGGCTGCACCCCTTCTCCTCACTGAGTGGCGATCCAAGTGCAACACGTTTGCCCTTTGGTAGCACACTCCATCGACTTGCCCAGGAAAAATTCAGATCATCAGTGCAATTCTGAGCTAGGAATTACCCAGACTCTGCTTGTTTTTATAAAAGTATAAACCAGGCCTATTTCTGAAGTACTCCAGTCAAGACTTTTGAGCCCTGTCGAGAGGGGAAAAAGCTTTCCCTGAGTGTATATGGGAAAGTGCTATTGGCGCAGCAGAGAAGAACATTCTGTCCTTCGCTCACAAAGAAAATTCAACACGAGGCAACCCTGGCATATACGAGGTACACATTTCAAGAGCACCCAAAGAAGAATTTGACAGATAAGCCTCTTGTCAATAATCAGGAAACTACACCGGCAAGTACACTGCCCTTCACGCAGGCGGGAGTCGGTGGTTCAGTTAGACCAAGAATTGACACTGCCTTAGATGTGCCATAAACCTTTGTTTGTAACACCTGTAAACTCGCACCTGTGTGCACCATCAGGGAGGGCCACGTTCACCGCTTTAAAATGAACTGCATGCTGTTGAGAACACTACATTGCCTTAATTTGATCTGAAATATTTCAGGCGTTCGTTAAGTATTTGAAGAAAGAGAAGGCAGAGGCAAGGAAGGCAGACAGCCAGTCTATGCAGCGTGTGCAGCACAATAAATGAATGCTGCAGAAGAGGGCTCCTGGTCTTCCTCATACCTACTTTTGCTACATCTTAGGCAAGTTATTTAATTTCTTCTGTCTCAACAGGAAAAGGGTCATGATGATACTTAAACTAGCAAAGTCTGAACCAGAGTTGGGGGCATTTAATGGAAGAGGCACTAGGGGCAAGGAGCCAAGAGAACTTGGTTCCAGGTCCATCCCTGCTACCAACTCTCAGAGTAAGGGAAAATTACTAGGGAAAATTACTTTTCCTTTCTTAGCCTCATCTGTAGAATGACATATTGGGTTAGATTACACTTTCTCTAGCTTTTCTTTCTGGTCTGATATTCCATACGATACAATAATTAGTTAGTATCTTTTCTAGTGTTGAAACATATGATTCCTATGCCTGTCCCCCTATTTCACTTATTTAAAGAAGATAATTATTTAGAACTATAATCCAAGTCCAAGAATTTTTATTGTCATGGTTATAAAAAGAAAGTTATTATGTAAGTTACAGTTTTACTACAATGTCAATTTTTCCCCAAGTATCCCATTATGACACAAGTTTTATAGAGATTACGATGCATTTGGGTCAATAAATTATTCCATTCTAGAGGCTTCTGAGTATGAAGGGCAATGGCAGCCACTTGAATCTGCATCTCTCCACACATCCTGCCCCCAGAATCTATAAGGTCATCAAGGAGCACAAATTAAATCACATGTGACCCATGTTGTCAGCATTACTAAAAGGTAGAGAATATGCCAAACTTCAAAGTATTTGTAAGTCAAAAAAGAAAAAGTCCAACAGCAGCTGCTATGAGCCTGTGGGTGCAGAGAGAAGGGTAAATGGAGGTTTAGGAGACTCCATGAAAAGAAAAGAGAGAGAGAAAGGAACTCAGGCCATTGGCAAAATGGACAAAATCATCTTCAGAAAGAAAAAGCACAAGCGCATGCCCAAATATGAACGTAAGTCAGTAGCTAGCGGTTAACAGCACTGGCCACAGGAAAGGGAGCCAAAATCAAGCAAAACTCAAAGTGGAAGCCTCCCACAGGGGTCGTTTCCATAAAAGAAGGATGCCAGCTGAGAGTGGGCAGTGTCCCTCCAAAGCACAGCAGTGAGAGAAGAGAAGGAAGAGGAGGAACTTAGGACCCATCAGACAGGAAAGAAAAACACCAGACAGGTGAATCCCAGCTTTCCTCCTGCCCCTCTTCACCACCATCATCACCCATTTAAAACTATGTGCTTCACGAAACTGGCAGGAAAGGGTGCTGTTTACCTGCTAACCCGACCCATGAAATGCCAAAGACTAGGGAAAAAGTTAACCTCCCTATAAAACTTCTGTAGGAAAAAAAACATGAAAATGGAAATACCTACATCCCAGTTGATAAAATTTCTTGCCAAATAACCAACCATTAAACAAAATAAAATAATAAAAGCATGCTCCAAACTGAAATAATACCCTCAACAAGCATTTGGAGACACACACACGGGCACACACAGCTAGAATCAGAAATTTTAAAACTAAGAAATGGACCAAAACAAACTCAACAACAACAAAACAGGAAAAAAATGCAATAAAAACTGACGAAATTCAAAGAAATTGAATAAAGAATAAATTATAAGTTGTAAAAAGGAAAAGATTTTAATGAAAGTATAATAAGGTAAATTGAAGAAAGGCCGGAAAACATATAAGGAAATAAAAATTGGAGAGAAAAAAATAAAAGGATCAGAGAAAATAATTGAAAGAAGATAGAAAAACTTCAATATATACATAATACTTATATCAGTCAAAGGAACTAAATTGCTAAAACTATTTGAAAAAGAATAAAGTGAGTGGATCTGTCTACCCAACTTCAAGACCTACCATACAGCTACAGTAATCATAACTGTGCTTTTTTGATGGAGAAATAGATGCACAGATCAATGGGACAGAATAGAGGACCCACACATGTGCCCAACTGATTGTTGACAAAAGTGCAAAAGCAATTCAATAAAGGAAAGATAGACTTCTCAACAAATGGTGCTGGAGTAATTGGACATCCATCGGCAAAAATAAAATGAACCTCAACCTAAGTCTCACATCTTATATAAAAATTAGCTCAAATTGACCACAGACTTAATTGTAAAAGATAAAATTATAAAACTTTTAGAAAATAATATAGAAGAAAATCTTCAAGATCTGAGCTGGGTAAAGAGTTCTTAGATTTGACATCAGAGGTACATTTCATAAAAGAAAAATTTGATAAATTGGACTTGATAGAAATTAAAAACTTGTGCTCTGCAAAAGACTCTGTTAAGAGGATGAAAAGAGGGGCTGGCCCCATGGCCGAATGGTTGAGTTTGTGCTCTCGGCTTCGGCGGCCCAGGGTTTCACCTGTTCGGATCCTGGGCATGGATGTGGTACCGCCCATCAGGCCACA